TGTAAATTACATGTAGATGTGATTTCACAGACGATGATGATCTGAAGTCTGGTAGTAAAGTTACTTGTACCAAACTCGCAGGAGGCAATCCAAAGGCCTATCGTCATGAAGCGTTACGAAAAGAAAAACAACATGGATATCACCAGGAGGGCCTGCATGGGGGGGGGGGTGATTACGAATTACGCAAATTTTTTTCCGCTGATTACGAATTACGTTAGAGCTGATTGCGACTTTACGCTTTATACTATTACGAATTACGTTGATTTGGGGGGGGGGGATGCTGCCTACGTAATACGAAGACTAAAAATACCTGATTACGCCTTTGAACGAAAAAGGGCATGCAGGCCCCATACACTAGTTGTCATGTGTAGCTATAGCTCGCGGTAGACATCTAAAAAAAGACTGCTTTTAAAACAATTTTTAAGAAATTAGACGATGTACATGTAATGACAGTATACTCACATTTTGCTTCTAGTGCTAGTGCTGTCGTTGCTCTTGGTGTTGAGACTCCGGCAGTTCTTCTTATATCCTTACAATCAGAGAGACAAGCCCGTACAACACCGGCCGACGACCAAGCCCGTCTGGCTGCCAAATGAAGTAACTCACAAATTACAGTGGCAGGACGGGAGGTTAGAATTGAGGGGGTTTTTCATTCGATAAATCTGGGTCCCGAATAGCAACTTCGTAGAAAGCGTTCGAATCATAATGGCATTGAGAAAACAGCTGTAAATTTTACTCTAAGACAATGATATTTTTTAAGAAAGAATATTATCATATTTCTATGTTGGATAAGAGAATATTCTTGATCCTGTACTTGTATATTTGGAAAGTCTTCTAATTTGTATAATGAACTAGGCGTCGCTTTGGTGTATTTTTCACACCTCTCTTGTTAATTATAACTACATGATATGTCTAATTATATGTGTATATCCATGACTAAATATATAAAGAGTACATGTTTTAGTGTTTTGGTACTGAATGAAATGGCCGGTCCCCTTCGTTGTTACCCGGTGGCGACAACCGGGGGTCCGTCACGCCAAATTTTAATCAACGTCTCCGCTGTTCTCCTCTACCGTCTGATCACTTCCGACCGCTCTCTGACTCCCCCGGTCACAGAGCCAACTTGGGAGGAGGATCTGCATGGGGGATCCTGGAAAGGCGTAACAGTAAATTCTGGCTGGCCGGTATTACACGGTTAAATAAGTTGTTCTTGTATAAGGCCATGTTGATTTGATTATATGGATGACATCCGCGCGCGTAAATTTTCGGCCGACCCCCCCCCCCAAAAAAAAATCAACCATACTGTAAATCGTACAAAACAGTTGCAAAATGAGCAAATATATACCGCTAGTTGAAAAAAAAAACACCGGAAAACGATACCAATGTCGTAGAATGCCAAAATCAAACGAAAAAGACAAAAATGTAAAGAAATGAATTTGAGTAGATTATTTGCCATACCATACTCTGTGTCATTTGTTCAACCTTCATAACTACGTAAATTTCAAAATGAAAACAACTTGTGGGGCTCTTTATGCAGCTGATGTTATATTCATTTATAATACTTATTAGTCCTTTGAAATGAGTAGATATTATTATAGTCACAATAAAATGTTTCTATAATTCCGTTAATATTTATTTGATTACTACTATTTCTATGTTTGAAATGAGTTGATATTATCATGGTTATAATCAAATGTTTCTACAGGTACGTTAATATTCATCTGATTATTATTATTTCTATGTTCTGTATCATTTTCCGTGAGTATTGTATTATTACCTGGATGTTTCAATTTCTGTGTCTTTTTATGTGAAAGAATGACAAACAAATTTTAAAAAATATACCTACCCCTCATTGAAAACTCCAAGCAGACCCTCTTGTAGAGTACCGAGGGGAATTTTACAAATCCAACAACGTATTCATTCAGAAGGAATGTCCTAAACTCACCTAAACAGGAAAAATAGCATTTTCATCAACTAACTCACGTCTGGGTCGTTTTGGGGAGGGAAAATTATTATTCATCTTGTCCTGCGGGACCTATGTATATATATATGGGTTGCACATACAGTACCATCATATACCATATGTACGATTTGGGGGTATTTCTATCTCGTGCAACGCATCGCACTGCTGCGAAACAACCTGAATAAGACATGACGAATATGACCGCGCCATCACAAGCACGTAGAGGATCGGGAGAAAGACAAGAAAGATATGAATTGAATACTTTATAGTCAAATTACTACTTGATATTGCGTATTGCGCCTCGGGCTTTGTTCTATCCAGAACTGGTAACTGCTTTATCTAGAACCATACTCAGAAGCGGTTCTGGATAATCAACGAGTAGCCAGAACCGTGCGTGAACAAATTATGTTTTTGGATACGCGGAGACTATCCAGAACCGTGCCTGGGGCAAGTTTACGTTCTTTGATAATCGATCTGCTCCTATTAAAACCCCATTCGTGCATAGAACTAGACAGACATGGTTCTGAATACAATAGGCTCACCCACCTTCCCTACACGGGTAAAAGGCTAAACAGATATTTCTTTCAAATTGTTGGCTACCTTTCGTATTCTGACTCATCTCAATAAAACCTGAAGAGATCATATTTTAATACGTTTTGCACAACATAGCAATTTTCTGTCTTGGTCTGCAATATCCACATTACACCCACAAATCATAAGATATTATTGTCCCTCAAGGAATTATTAAAAACAAAGAGGAGGGTTGTCATATCCGCAATCATATGTGTAATAGTTCCTCGTAAAGATAGAATAAATACTAAAGAAAAGATCATTCGACGTCACGTCTAGTCGCTACACGTTGTATTCTTGTGTCATACGGTCTTTAGCTTTAAAGGCATCCAGTGCAGTTTTAAGGGCTTAGAAAACCGATACTGAGTTGAAACCACGCCATTCCAATAGTATAAATTGACCCTCATGGAGAAAAAATTCCCAAAATTCTGACGGAAAATGATTACTGGAAGGGTCCTGGGCTGATTTTAGGGTACCACCCAGAAAATAAAGGACTCATCTTGGGGCTTGTTTCCTCAGTTTTAAATGCTTAAAGTATGAAATACTGACTCAAATGTGCTAATGTATGTGTCAATATCACAAATATTGCCTTATTCATAAGATTTCTAGTTTTGCTGCCCTGAAATCGCATTAGATGCTTTGCTCCTTCTACGTTGTAAGTGCGCTCTCTGTAATATCCATCTACAAGGCCACAACGCCTTTATATTATGGATGACATCCCCTGAAGACCCACAAACTAGTGCGCGCGGGCAAATAAAAAAAATTCCGGCGAAAAATAAAAAATGCTACTAAACCACAGGTATACAATGCTGGTATTGTGAATTTGCGACGTATTCGACAAGCCGGCACATGCTGGCTTTTTGCGAAGTTTTGAATCGGCACTGTACGTATGTACTGAGATCTGGAGCTTCGTGGAGCTTCGGGTGCCGTCCTCCAGAGATACCGCCGGCTCCCTATGATTCGTCTCTAACTACCATGGACTATCCAGGCCTAGAGCCGGGCCAGAGCTTCGGAGGACGTGATTTGTGTTGTTTTATTTTAGGACAGGCAAAAATCAATGCGCGCGTGGATGTCATCCATACAATTAAGACGGTGTGGCCTAACCGAACCCCCGTCTGCTACCTCTTAGGCGACAGCAAGTAATTTTTATGGATGACATCAGCGCGCGCATTAATTTTCGCCTGATTTTGGAAAAAAAAACAAGAAATTTTGTTGCCTTCTGACAGTGGTCAATATGCCGAAAATGTGCAAAGATGTCTGTTGACAAGCCGGGAGGTGGATGGCAGATAACTATAAAGAGAGGAGACGAGAAAAGGCTCTGATTTAATGTTTTGTTTCTTACTTTGATGCAGTGATATGTGATGCTGCCTGGCTGTGTAGATGTAATGTTCCCAATGAATCAAAACCATTTGTACAATGATTGAGTCAAAATTTAAAAATGTAGTAACCTTGTTTTTTTTCGGCCCGCCTTGTTTTTTCGCCCGCTCGCATTAGATTTGGAGTCTGTGGAGGATGTCATCCATAAAATTTACATGCTGTGGCCTTATGATGAATAGACCAGACCTAATCAAATAGTCGCTGCCGATGGAGGGGCTCTTAGGGTAAATGTAATCATGGCAGTGCGCCTTCCCGAGGGGAGAGTTGGTTCTGTAATCGAATTTCGTATGAAGAGAGGAAACAGTGCAGACGACATGTTGGTGCCTTGTTGTGGCAGAATATTATGCTAAAAACATAGTCTCTACCAGACTAACTACGCTGGCTATACATACCTGGTCATAGGAGAATATTTTCAAGGGGAGTTTGGCCGCCTTATAGGTTTGACCGGCTTCGGAGGGAAAGAAACTACCTCCCCTCGGCCGGACTCCATTGGCCAATTTTGCTCTCTTTTTTGCCGAATTCTATGATCCGTATTCCCGTAGAAAGGCCTGGTGGAGGCAGCAGTACTAAAAACAGCACAGACAGAGTCGAATGTTTTATATGTTTTAATGATAGTGAGTTGTGATTCTGAAGAAGGCATGGTTCTCAAACAGAAAATTGCGTGCGTGCGTGCGTGCACACGTTTGCTTGTATGTACGTGTGTGTGCGTGTCAGTGTTAGTGTGTGTGTGCATATGTACGTGTTTGCACGCATGTGTGTGTGTAGGTATGTATGTGCGTGTTTCCGTGCGTGCTTGCTTGTGTGTGTGCCTGTGTGTTTGTGTGTACTTGCGTGTGTGCACATTTACGTATGTATTTGTGCACTTGTGTGTGTATGTGTGTGCGCCTTCGTGTGTGTGCGCGTATGTTCATTGTGTGTGTGTGTATGTACATTTTGTATGTATGTGAGTGCGTATGTGTTCATACGTGCGTGCGTGTATAGATGTATAGTATGTCTATGTGAATGAGTGTATGGGTATTATGTATGAGTGTGTGTGTGTGTGTGTGTGTGTTTATGTGTGTGTGTGTGTGTGTGTGTGTGTGTGTGTGTGTGTGTGTGCATGATGGACGAGTTTTCGTGTGTGCCTGTGTGTCTATGTGCGTGTGTGTATGTTTGTGCGTGCATGAGTGCATACGTTAGCAGCACATCGGGTTTGGTGCGTGTTGGTAAAGAGTGTATAATAGTGAGTGCAATAGGCGTATGCATGTGTGAATATGTGTACATTTATTCGCTGTAATGTCAACTAATGCAAATTTACTGTCAATGATGGCTGTAAAAACTGTGTAAATTATCCCCTTTTCCATGTCATATTCCAAGTTTTAAATGAGCCTGTCTCAGTGTACGTGTGTTGTAGGTGTCAATACAATGTATGTTTGTGTTGGTAAAAATGTGAATAATGTCAATGCAACACTAGTTAATTACCTCCACTAGAAAGTAGCAAGCTTCAAAATTAAGAATTGTTTCAACTAATTAACCCTCAGAAATGCATACACTGATAGTTTTGATAGAAAAATGTGCCTAGAAGAGACCACAACGCTGGTGACTTTGAAGGAAATGAGAAAACACGATCGACTACAGTGGACTACTGTTCTAGCTCGCCGCACGGTGCAGCAGCGCCGCCTTGCGTCACAGCTCTGCCCTGCTCTCGGAGTCCCTGTAGCCGTAGGGGCTGACGATCTCCACGCCGCAGCTCGTGACCCGGATCAGCTTCTTCGGTCTGTCCCAGGCATCCACCTTCACTTCCGCAATCTTCTTCACCACAGACTGTGACGAGAAATGGAAAATGAATAAGTCATTTCTACTTAAAGGCGTCCAGGGCAGTTTTTAGGGCTTGGAAACCCGATTTTTCAAAGCCAATATTCTAGCCATTTATTAACTATTGACAAAAATGTGTTGAACCAACACTATCCCAATGTATGTTGACCCTCATGGAGCAAAAATTCCCAAAATTCTGACGGAAAATGGTTACTGAAAGGGCCCTTGGCTGTATTTTAGGGTACCACCCGAAAAATAAAGGACTCATCTTGGGGCTTGTTTCTGCAGTTTTAAAATCCCAAAGTATGAAATACTGATTCAAATGTGCTGAAGTAAAGCAGTATGTGTCAATATCACAAAGATCGCCTTATTCAGAATATTTCCAGTTTTGCTGCCTTGAAATCACAATGGATGCCTTTAAAAGCAGTTTCAAGGCAGTAGAGCTGTATTTTAAAGTCAAATATTTCCGATCAATTTTTAAATGTAAAGTTGAATCAACGCGACAATATATCCAATAGCATACTGATATCTGTGAGACAAAAATACGACGTCACTGATGAAAAACTATATATCTTTATAGATGTATGTTCATACATCTGTATGTAATAGATGTAGTATTATATATATAGCACCTGTGTAGAATTTTAGTGTCTCTCTCTATATATATGAAACTACATATGTATTGCGCTTAGCCTTCATGGGCATGAATGTGCAAATAAACATAATTGTCATTGTCATATGTAGAAGCCATTCAGAATTTCGTATCCATTTTTATGCAATGAAATGTATTTTTTTGTCAACTCACCAGTCCTTGCAAAACCTTTCCGAACACCACATAGCGTTTATCCAGAAACCTGTAAGGTGGGTAGAGGGAGGGGAATTCGTTATTAGGCAAAACTGTGGAAAAATGTCAAATTCTTAGCGAACGCTATGACTACATTTTTGTCAAAGTATACATAAAGCCACAGTAAGTAAATTCTATGGATGACATCCTCCGCAGACTCCAAATCTAATGCGAGCGGGCGAAAAAAAAAAGGCGGGCCAAAAAAACAAGGTTCGGCCTACATTATCAAATTTTGACTCAATCATTGTACAAATGGTTTTGATTCAGTGGGAACATTACATAATATTATACACAGCCACAATTCTATATCACTGCAAATAAAAAAAAACAACATTAAACCAGAGCCTTTTCTTGTCTCCTCACTTCATATCTATCCGTCATTCACGTTCCGTCATGGCAACAGACATCTTTGCCCAATTTTTGGCAGGTTGACCACTGAAAGAGGGCAACAATTTTTTTTTCAAAATCATGCGAAAATTAATGCGCGCTGATGTCATCCATAAAAATTTCTTGCTATGGCCTAAGTATAGAAAAATTAATTTAGCCCCCACCTTGCCGTCTGTAGTGTGATGAAGAACTGAGACTGGTTAGTATCCGGCCCGTGATTGGCCATGGACACCCAACCAGCACCCTTGTGACTCAACAGGAAGTTCTCATCGGGAAAAACCTCGCCGTAGATGCTCTTTCCTGGGAGAAGAATGAAATATATTTACTGTACGTTTATGCTCAAACTTGCAACTAGCTAAGGTCTCGTCATGGTGACAAAGCTGTTCTAGGTACGAGTTTATTTGTTTATTATGATTTTTCACAACGAAGTGAAAGGGAGGGCAAAACAGGTGCATACGCACCTTTACAAGTTGCCCTCCCCCATACAAAAACACATATACAACATCATATACAACATCAAAATTTACATCGTCAATAACAAGTAAAAAATACATCAATATAGAATTCGAAAGGTTAAGCATAATTCAAATACATGTATATCTAGTAAGTAGTTATAATATATTGTGTTGATAAAATACGACTTAGTGCGGTCTAGAAGCAATGATACATTTGATACAGTGATACATGCATGCAGCATCTTACTACATCTCACAATTGCTTATGTATACACATACTCAGTATAGTACATCTCACAATGGCTTATGTACATGTATACACATATCCAGTATAGTACATCTCACAATGGCTTATGTACATGTATACACATACCCAGTATAGTACATCTCACAATGGCTTATGTACATGTATACACATACCCAGTATAGTACATCTCACAATGGCTACAATTTAACTTTTCGTTACCTCGTGTCCTCTATGATTTCAGAAAAACACTGAACGTATTGAGAAGAAAAAAATAAGCATAAACTGTCCGATGAGCGGGAATATTTTGTTGGCACGGTGGAAATGTTTCGTCCTGTCCAAAGTTTTCCACACGACCTACCTCCCGTTCCGTCCCAGTTTGTGATGTCACCTCCTTGAATCACGTGATCTTTGACGACACGGTGGAAGATGGAGCCCTTGTAGCTGAAACTCGTCTAGAAAAACATGGGGCACTTAGGGAGACATCAATTATGTAAATTAAGACCTCATTTGCATAATTGATGAGTAATGTGACAAGTCCATATTGTTTACTGTCAGCAATTGTAATTTCATACTTACAAGTCAATGTGAACATCATTACACATAAATAATTCAAATCAGGCACTCGATCAGGACCTCATTTACCTGATTTATGAGGAATTGCTGGTATATCCTTCTTTGTTAAGATAAGCCTTTTCTCTCTTTTCATCTAGATTACAAGAAAGATTGTTTCCACATCGCAGTAATCTCCAAGCAGATCTTTTGGTGGGGGTAAGACAATATCCAATTGGCCAATCTGTAACCATTTGGTGGTGGTAGCGACAAAAAAAGGCCATATGTAAAAAGCTTCCACCATCAACCTCTGCTTGGAGAGTACATCGCAGTAGAAGACGTGCTAAAGTACTCACATCTCCCTTCCACGTGCCCTTCATGAGAGCGGCGAAGTTCATGACCGTGGCGGGGACGATATCTCCGAACAGCCCGATCACAATCCGGCCCACCGGCTCGTCATCAATCTCCACATCCATCCACGCCTGGAGGGAGAAATGAACACCGAGTTAAAATTAAAAAAAAATCAAAATTTTATTGTACAATCAACTTTGTATTCGACTTAATTGCGCTGATTTTACAGTACATGTACATTTATAAAAGAACAATTCATTTCAATGACCATCAGCGTTAAAAACGATAAAACATTATACAGGGATATTAAAGTCTGTTCACAGCAACAACAACAACGTAAACACAGAGTTTTGAGGGCATCACATCAAACAGCAGATAAACTAGAAAGGTAACATTTGCAAAGTTATCAATGTTCACCTTCGCATATGGTCTGCTCTGTTGATTCGTACTCAAATACATTCATATATATGGTCAGACAGGAGTCTAAATCCCTCCTACCATGAAATTGCAACATTAAGAAGCCCAACACCAGTTACTATGGTGAGAGACGTCAACAAATCAGGTCATTGGCCAGTTCAGAGTTCAGTGTTTGGAACAGAAGAAGAGGAAGAGGAGGAAACGTAGCAAAAACGGTCAGCATGTACATGTACGTTTCTACTCTCAAATTCTCAAGAAATTGTTCATGCTCAAGACAATTGATATCATAGTCTTCTTCCAATCAGAGAAGAAATACCCGTAATATAGTTACATTTTGTGTATATCTTATAGTTATTTTATTCTTCAAACACTACAAATATCAAAATGCCATCAGTTCGAAGCCATTAAGGATGAATTGTGTGATTTGAAGCAAATAGTATATGGCTAAAATCTTCTTGAAGGATACTCCGTGTCATAAAGCAGTAAATGAACATAACATTTCAATCAGTAATATAAAATGCAGGGCATGATTGTTTGAAATGTGGACAAGGTGTGGTATTGTGTTTCTGCTGTATCGTTATGTGCGCGCTGGCAATTGGTCAAGTTTTGTTTGTTGTCTTGTCGTCTTCCCATTGACTCTACCCCTGGTTAGTGGTAACCAGTGTCGATACATTGTGGATATTTGTATGCTCTTCGCAAACATTCGGGTATCAGGGTAGTGACTTCAAATCTTCAATCTGGTACAATCGGCCGAGAAGCCCAAAACCGCTGCACGATTTTTTTCCGACCGGTCGCTACCGTGGTTCGTTTGAGTGGCCCGAGCTAAATTCTGAAAGACGCGGCAAATTTAGGAGCACGTGTAGATCCGCACTGCGATTGGTTAGGCCGGATCAAGTTTACACTGTGATTGGCTAAGACAGGTCGTGCCCCGCCCGTGCTCACCACGTGATAGAATTCCACTTGTACATCACTGTTGCGCAACATCAATTCATGACCCCATAGGTATCTACATAAAAATCCATAACTGAACATTGCCCAACATATTCCAAATATTCAATCACATTACTGGTAGCCGCTGATATCATTTAAATTTAGTCTGTGTTTGTCATAAACCCTGAATATGTATAAATTATGATGCTGAATAATTAAGCTGGTGTGTTACGCCGAAGGGCGGTTATACCGGCTATACCGATACAGATACAGAATATCGCAGAGTGGAACTCGCTGTCACCAAGTACAGTAGGGGCATCATCATTATTAGATAGCTTTAAACAATGTTTAAAGTTAGATGTTCAAAGGGTAGGTGTATTAAACAAGTCGTTCGGTGTAATGTAGCCAGCTGCCACCACGCCGCGTGCCTGCGAAGCTGTTGTGTTATGCCGGAGGTCGGTTATATCGGCTATACAGATATAGATACAGAATTTAATAATGCTGTACGGGTATGGTACTGAACATGAATCACTAATTAACAGCAGGGACTCCGATAGGGATCTTTACCGGCAAAGACTACGGTCGGAATTTTCGTTGACAGTGACTCCAATCGAAATTTCTCTACTGGTAAAATCGCCGATTCGACCAGATCGTAGTCTCTACATACAATGTATGGCCACAGCAAGTAAATTTTATGGATGACATCCTCCGCAGACTCTAAATCTAATGCAAGCGGGCGAAAAAAAGGTGACCCGAAAAAAATAAGGTTCCTACATTTCAAATTTTTTACTCAATCACTGAACAAATGGTTTTGATTCAGTGGGAACATCACATATACAAAGCCAACGTCATATATCACTGCATCAAAGTAAGAAGCAAAACATTAAATTCAGAGGCTTTTTCTTGTCCCCTCTCTTCTGCCATCCACCTTCCGGCATGGCAACAGACATCTTTGCCCATTTTAGGCATGTTGACCACTGTCAGGAGGCAACAATTTTTTTCCCAAATCAGGCGAAAATTAATGCGCGCGCTTATGTCATCCATAAAAATTATTTGGTGTGGCCATACATCAAAATACAAGAATCCACCAACCTTCTTCGTGACCGTCAGAATGTCCGGTACCTTTTCTTCCTTGTTCTTCTTGATCTTCGTCGCCGCGTCCAAACCGGGCAAACTTACGACTACCAGACTCAACACAACCGTCAAGAATAACAACTTCTGTTCCATGGTTGAAAATATATTAAACTCTAGCGGTGGCCGCTACGTGGTCAAGTCGCTACAGAAGTGAGAGAGAGAGACTTGTGGGGTACAAGAATTAGGAACACAGGGAAAGAGCGTTCTAGTAGTAGTCCAATGGGAGAGGGACACACATCTAGCGCTACAGCCACGTTGCACGGTTGTACCGGCCAGTTTTTATACACACGTGGCGACAGTTGGACGCTATCTGTACCGGTATCTAAGCCCGAGGGGCATTTTGTCCATTGTTAAAAGAAACTGCTGCTGCAACCCCATGTAACAGCTGGTATAACTTGTAAGGTCGCAGGATAGAAGAGCTTTTCGTAGTTTTATGTGACTATTGTCTAATTGTATTATTTTTTTAGTTTACACAAAATGCTTATCACTCGATTCTTATACGATCAACGTTACAGAACGGACTGCATGGTTTATATTGACTTAAGTTTTCCTGTAGGTTGAACGATTCTTTCGTTATCAGTCAGGAACCCGTAGTTTCTCAGTCAACAACCTACCCGAAGTTCACTACATACGGCCCTTGCTAACATCACACTTATCAGACCTGTACTTGAATATGGGCACGTACTACTAGTAGGGTGTAACAAGGAGCAGGGAAGACTGATTGAAAGAGTACAACGGAGAGCACACTGGATCATCTCACTGGGGGGAAGACGTGAGGTGCCTCCTCTGCCAACGCTGAAGGAAAGGCGAGAGGTGGCGGCAGTGAAGCTACTTAAGAACATGCTGGACGAGGGTCACCCTCTCCATGACCTGGTTCCACCGGCTAGGAAAACGGCCACTGGGAGGACCTTAAGAAATGGAGCTGCACTTACAGTACCAGCGGCCCGTACAAAAAGACTGAAAAACTATTTCTTACACAAGGCAACGAGTCCTTGCAGTAATGACTTTCAAGACTCTCTGGACTTTACTTCAGTGCCCATGTGTGGCTTTGTAACATGTTTGTTTGTGTGTCTGTATATGTTTTGTAATGTTAATGTGTATTTGCATTTACTATGTACAAAATTGCAAAAATCAGTGTTATTCAGCTTGGTTGACTTGTTAACTGGCTGCAAGGCTGATTTTATTAATAAAACTTGAAACTTGAATACATACGGCGCCGCATGTACCGAGTTCCTGAAACATTTAGCACTCATAGAATGTGTTTAATTCAAGACAAGTAAAACATATTTCAAAACATCATGGACTATAAAACTGTGTATCGGTAGATTACTTTAGTTTTCCCGATATAATATCACACACTTTGATTTTATTGACGCTGTTTTATGTGTCCCCGCGATGTCATCGAGTCAGACAACCGTGTGTTGGACAGTTGAGAATTCCAAAAGCATTTTAGTACGAAATATGTCCCGTCAAAGTTGACCTTCTAAGTATTCATTTTTGGAGTGAAAATTTCTGTGGCGTCGCCATATTTGTATATCCTAAGATACATACATGTATGCATCGCCCACCGCAAGGTACCAATCCCATGCGATCATCTCATCTGACGATCCTATCACTGGATTCAGAACGGCTGATTGCCACATTCTCATCAATTCCATTAATCGGCGTTTGATAGCACATCTACCTTCAAACTTTTTCAAAAGAAATTTACAATGATAACAAAGGTGGAACCGCCCAAAACAAGCTGAGGTCCTACAGACTATTCAAATCCACCTATGCTGAAGAACAGTATCTGAATATTGAAAATCTACGGCACAGAACTGCCGTCACAAAACTCCGAATTAGTTGCCACAAGTAACACATCGAAACCGGTAGACATAACCGCACTCCCCTAGAACAACGAATATGTCAGTACTGTGATCTAGGAAGAATCGAAGATGAGAGACATTTTGTAACGGATTGTGAACTATACCACAAAGAGAGAGTAGATCTTTATAATCTGATACAATCTATGTTCCCCTTCTTCATACATCTAAGCTGTACAGATAAATTTATATTTCTAATGAGCTTAGACAAACCTTCTGTATTGAAACATATCTGTTCTTACATTTTTGCCATTACTAAGAAACGAGAAGAAACCGATTTTACTTGATTGTAGCTACTTGACGATGTATGTATGTAACGTTATCTATATTCCATCCTTTTTTGTGACCTGTACTTAACCCAGTGGGTATGTGTGTACACTGAAGGTCTTCATTCATTCATCAACTAGGATATAGAGAAAATATCCCACGTGAAACGCCTGATTGTCGATATCCCAGTCCGTTCCGTAACGTTGATTGTATAAGAATCGGGTGTCATTTATGTGTTATACCATGCATTCTGCTGCAAACTACCAGAATGCAAAACAAAGAGCATTGAAAGACTTCCAAAACTAAGTCAAGATAAGACATGGATAAGATGATATCTTGACTATGTGACAATATATCTACTACGTGCCAGCTGTGTCAGGGCTCATTACTAGTACAATGTATCACCATATGTGACCACGTACCATTGTGATGCAACAGGTCTGTACGTATTGAATGGACCAATTTTACGCCTTAGTTGTTTGCAGAAAAAAATGCAATCTTTTAGTCGTTTCTAATGGCACCATGCCTTTTGGAAAACTGTCCTGCAAAAACAGACATGTACCTCACATAATTAAAGACATTTGCTTTTTTTATATTCCAACATGTAATCACCAGACGTGGTGACGACACACTCAAGTTTTTTCAACTTATATTAATGCCGCCACCAACACAGGGGACAAATACATGACAGGACAATACTCATTTACACCTGAGTTAAGTGAGGAAAGTCATGTAAAGTGCCTTTCCCAAGGGCACAAGATCGGTGGCATGTCAGGACTCGAACCCGAGTCGCGCGCTCTGCCGCTACGCCACACGGCCCCACCATTTGCTTTCATAATTGCAGTCAATAGTTTCATTGAAGACAAAGACATGTCTCTGTAGGATGCGAATATATTTATATCACATAACATTCCATTATTGTTTGATTCTAACATATGTTTTGCATTCATGAACAAGAGTTGCAGCAATGCTTACAAATACATACATTTCATTTCATTTATTTCATTTATTGGTGATGCCACAACGCATTACAAGTGGGAGCCAGGCAGCCATAAGGCTGGTGGCGGCTGCCACTAGTACATACAACACAACACAGGACAAGTCAATACAACAGGATCTAATAACAAGTTACGAATATCCAAGTAGCAAAACATAACAGTGCATTATACAATATCGAGGACACATCATCATCAAGTTAATCCGCACGCCAACTTTTAAAAACAAGAGTTTTTAGACCAAAAATCCGATATTCTATATCAGTCGATCACCCACTAGCAGAATTGTGTGTATCAAAACGATTTCCTCCATTTGCTTGGAAAACGTAATTTGTAGTTGAGCACCCAAGCCTTTATAATTGATTCTTTACTGAGGCCACAGCAAGTAATTTTTATGGATGACATCGACGCGCGCATTGATTTTGCCTGATTTTGGAAAAAAAAAGAAATTTTGTTGCCTTCTGACAGTGGTCAACATACCGAAAATGGGCAAAGATGTCTGTTGCCATGCCGGAAGGTGGATGGCAGATAACTATGACGAGAGGAGACAAGAAAAGGCTCTGATTTAATGTTTTGTTTCTTACTTTGATGCAGTGATATGTGATGATGGCTGTGTGTAGGTGATGTTCCCAACGAATAAAAGCTATTCGTACAATGATTGAGTCAAAATTTAATAATGTAGGAACCTTGTTTTTTTTGGCCCGCCTTGTTTTTTTTTTCGCCCGCTCGCATTAGATTTGGAGTCTGCAGAGGATGCCATCCATAAAATTTACATGCTGTGGCCTGACTTGACAAAAGTACAGGGACTTTCGTATGGTCTACTCCGACTTATATGGAACATAGCTAAATACATGATTGTTAAAGTCATCCTAATTACAGAATATCTCTATGCGGGAAACTTCGTACAGAATACTAGTATATGTCAGCGACAAAATTAGAGGTTTAACTATTCTCTAACATTCAGATTTTATTTAACTATTTGCACTCTGCATTTATTATCTCTTCTTATAAAATGTATTTGAATTCATTTATAGGATCTAATGTATTTAAATCAGTTGAACAGCAATATACGCTTATTATTGTATGGTGAAAAATCCATTATAAGATGACACTCATTTTCAATCAAAATATCCTCTGATGTTTTTGCTTTGGCTAGTGTAAGGACCAGTCTCGTTAATTATTACGTAATATTGGTACAGAAGCTGAAACATGCATCCTTGTTATTCTATTTTCTGCAATGTGTCCCACACACATTAAATTGTGTACCCATGGTAGTGTACAAAGCGATATCCAAAATGACTGAGTTTACCAGTGTTTCAGGTGGGTTATTCACGAGTTTCCCATTCCCAGAATTCATTGCGAAAACAGGCATCGGAATGATCCTGTTGCCGTTAAACATCCTGTTTTTCAGTGTGTTTTGAGGTGTTGGGGAAGATGCTCAACGTTAACTAAATTACTATGGGTTGAATCTGACAACAAATAGAGAATAACTTTATTGGGGATATCTGGTTTGTAACGTTATAGTGGTAACGCTATACTGATGCTGTAACGTTACAAACCACATGTTCCATTTTGAAAAGAACATATTAAAAACGTCTAGCATCACCTTTGTTGTCAGATTCGACCCATAGTAATTTAATTAATGTTGAGCGTAAAATGCCCCAACACCTCAAAACACACTGAAAAACAAGCTGTTTAACGTCAACATGATCTTTCTGATGCCTTCCTGTCCTATGCAAATGAGGTTTAGACCCCTGTTTTCGCAAGGCATTCTGGGGATGGGAAACTCCTGAATGCCATATTGCCAGGTAATCCAACTCTCGCGTGTCTGTACGTGGATCATCACCATGGCAACGACAAACGTCATCAGGCCTTGGTCTTGTCACAGTGGATCATGACTTTGATGCCTTCGCCCTTCTTGGCAAACTCGAATGCCTCCAGCGTCTGTTCTAGACTATAGCGGTGGGTGACCAGAGGCTTCACGTTCACCTGGCCCGAGGCTACCATCGCAAGGGCTGTCGGGTAGCTGCATGGAAACAATAGGCTTGTTACCTTCGGGTTGGAGCGCGAAACCTTCTCTCCGTGGCAAAAACTCCCTCGGCAGAAAATCGTCCCTCGCGGCCGCATATTACTCGCGTCGCTCAGAGAAAAAATAACGCCAACGCCCAACAAGACTGCGAAGGAGACTACTTTTTTACACAACCAAGTCTTTTATTTAGCCGACGTTTAGGTGACCGTCTGTCACCTTCCTCAGAGAATGCATCTGTAGCAGCGAAACGTCGGCTGAATAAAAGACTTGGTTGTGTAAAAAGAATCTCTTTACTCAATTGGTGATGTCGTTTATTTTTCCTTTTGTCTAAATTTTTAGGTATTCAAATAAGATGATTCGACACCCCTGTGCTGTACGTGGTGTGGTATCGTCTATCAATAGCTGTTGTCCACCAGACTATACAACACTACTTTCAGGACGGTTTCTTTAGGCCTGTTTTGTGAATTTTTAATAATAGTGATGCCATCTTTTAAGTAAGGTAGAGTCACTGGTAACATTTTTGTTAATGCGGTGTCGGTGATAGTTGCTCCCGGTGTGTTTGTTCGTTTGGTTGTAGCTATTTGGATACAATAGAGACACTGGAAGTTAAAGAGAAAGGTGTAACCACAGATTGACAGGAAGGTCGAATTGGAGATCAAAACGGTCTCCCACAGGCTGGGAGAATGTGGCAGTAGAATGTGAACAGAAACAGCGAATTCACAATAATGAAAGAAACAATAAATTAACAACAACGCAAAAAAACAACTTTAAACTAGAACTTGATAAAATATCACCCACGCACGCCACACTGTATATGCTTGGAGATTACCTTTCCACACCAACATGGCTTGAAGACTATAATGAGTGTGATTTAATTATCTCAGCAGCCAATCAGCAACAAGAACAACCACCTGGGCCAATCAGGTCATACATACCAACTACGGTTACACACAACATCTGCCCTTACTCGTTGCAATAGCGGAGGTTCCCCCTGATGTCCACTTCCTTCAGAGCGGCATCCAGTAGTGGTATGGTCGCCATCTGCCGGCCACAGCCCACTATCATCAGTACACCTCCCGGCTGGGTGGCCTGGGGAACAACGTAACAACAGGTGTTCCATCATTTGTTTTCAAATTCTTTCTTAGGCAACGTTGTTCAAATGGGAAGCTCCACCTACAATGAGTGTACGCACTACTCGGTCAGAGTTAAAACGGCTACGGGACTATGACCCCCACCTACTCTCCTGTCCACCAGCAAGAGTCACTTCATACAGGAACAGCTTACAGTACTATGGACCTTATCTCTGGAACTCACTCCCCCTACAACAACGACAGCAGCCTAGTCTCAGAACTTTTAAACAGTTTTTATCGAATTGTTTTATCTATGTGCTATTTTTAGACTTTTGGATGTATTGTGAATCTGTTCAACTGTTAGGTGTTTGTCTGTGCTCTTGTACCAGGATTTCCTGAAAAACAGGCCAGAGTGGCCTGAGTGTGATACCTGGTTGAACAAATAAAGTTGAAAGTTGAAGGCCAAAGCAGCAAGTAAGTTTTATGGATGACATCCTACGCAGACTCCAAATCTAATGCGATAGGGCGAAAAAAACAAGGTTCCGACATTTTTAAATTTTGATATGTTTCGGCACGGCAAGACATGCCATTTTGCCTATTTCTGGCACCGGCATATTAACACTTTACAGATGGCAACAGAATTTCTTTTTTTTTTTTTTTCAAAATCAGGCGAAAATAAATGCGCGCGCTCATGTTATTCCACAAAAATTACTTGCCGTGGTCTTAGTTTCAACAAGAAGCCATAGGTGACAATCCTCCGTTTAGTCTTATATTTTGCAACAAAAATAATCCCAAGCGTCAACGCCAGACCTACTGTGCAGACATTAGGCAGACCATAAAACATAAAAAGACCTAAATCCATTACTGCTCTCAGGGCGTGTAAAGATACTGTGCTTCAAGTTCGAAATTCATTTTAATCACTCACACACACAATCATTGCACTCACATAAAGATCGGACTTTCATGGTAGTGTCACTAGTAAGAAGGACAGCCCCACCGTCTTACCGTTCCTGTTATATCACTTAAATAAGGAATACTTATCATAAGAAAATAATCTGAAACAGTTGTCCGACAAACATTAAACAGTTACATAATGGCCAACAGTTGCACTTTATGGCCCTTTATCAGTAAAGCGCGACTGGCCTGTCCAAAAACCAGTCAGCAATATTAATTAGCAACAGTTGCAGGCAGCACCGCGAGTTACTACCGGTCACATACCCGGGCGAAAACATCTCAATGACATTACGGGGATGTTTCAAAAATAAGTATTTTCTCCGATATCAAAACAACTATTGTAAAAATAAAAAGACGTGCATCACCGGACATAATGGCAAACCACATGCCAAATTACACAGAAATACTACGTACAGAACAATGCGTCTTGGCTGCGAACACGTATGGCACCACTTATCGACCCCTCCGCACGTCTGCATAAAGTTCCACCCACCCCTTCCCCCACCGCTTTTTTCCAAACAACTGGTTTCTCTGGACCATTCCAATTTGCCTCACAATTGTAGGGGTGCATCTGTAATATTACACTGACCGCGAAAGCAGTAACGGCAAAAATACACATTCGTGCATCAACACGGGCATGCCCGCAGACGGCGTATAGAATTGCGTGCCGATTACACAAAGAGAACCCAGTGTTTTGACTGCGAACACGAAAAAACAGCTACTCACGACACTCCGTCCGGAGGTCCTGACCTCCTTCACGGAGTAACAACACTTAAACTATACATACTAATGTGATCTACTATTTACAGATTCAACTTCTTCTCGCTTCTTGAGACAGTCACACATGTGCGAGCATATGGGGATAATGATACATTGCTTGTCAATTTTTTAAGGAATGCGAATTTTTATATTTCATTTAAGCATCTAAAAAATCTGTGACAAAAAGCTCGTTACAAGGTGGAAAGGTTGTTTGTGTAAAAATGAAAAGCCTCGGGCCAAGGACATTATACAGTGGATGTCCTTTTACGGATCAATAACCTCTGGTGAGTGTCTGTGCGTAACTGGGTCACAGGTTGACTAATTAGGCAGTGTCAGAGAAGGTTAACATTCACCCTACCAAGGTAGCAGTTAGTCGCCAAAGTTGCATTGTTTGCCGGGTTAGGCAGCAGGGAGAAGGTTAATCTGTCTCCAACCCGTTCGACCACATCTATGACCTTTGGCCTACTCAAACATGGCTAAGGTTATGAAGACATCTTTTAGCACCACTCCTCCAGTCTTATTTGCTGTAGTTTTGATTTTATCTTTCTTCCTGCTGCAGAAATACAACCTTACGAAGTAAGTATTTTTATGTTTACCTTCTTGTGTTTGAGTAACAATAAACAGAACAGTAGTTTGTTAGGCTAGACCAATCGTCTATTTGTTTGTCGGCATGGTGGCCTTAAGTCCACCTGTTCTACCATGTCTTCCATGTACACGTGTATGTGGAGAATTGTAATAAATGAATGAATAAATAAATAAAAATAAATAAATTGTGGAGGTAAACATTATGGATTTGCTTTGCAAATGTTACCTTTCTAGTTTTGTTACTAAAACGTTATTTAAGGTAGGGAAGAGAGATTATGTGGACAAAGAAGATTCGTACAAACATAATGATTTAGAATTAAACTTAATATATTGATATGTCTTCTTCGTCAGTTCAGTGCTTTGAATTAAAGTTATTTTACGTGAAGTTCAGTCGACCGTTAAGGCCACACCAAGTAAATTTTATGGATGACGTCCTCGCGCGTATTGATTTTGACCTGTTCCTAGAAAAAAACCCAAGAAATTCCGCTTCCTGTAACTATGACCAAAGAGTCACGACAGTGCCGCAGATCGTTAGATTGACGTGAAACCCGTAACGCGAAATGGGTAAAGAGCACATGCTTTATTTCTGCAGGCCTGCAAAAATGTGTACGAAACGGGACAGGACGACAACTGCTGTTCCACCTGATTTATTGCTGTTTTGATGATGAACTAGAATTCCGAGATCTCATACCTCCATGAAATATGATCTTGATATGTAAATGTAAATTTCTTCTTTAATTGTTCAAATGACCTCTGCATTAACATGATATATGCATCGTGATGTATGTTAACTTTTGATTAACTTACAGATGTCCCAAGTATGACATTCTCATCATTCACCATTACGAAATCATAGAATTTTCACATTAATTATGCAAATTAGGTCATCATTTGCATAATTAGTATCTGTTGAAGTTCCGCCTGCCATAGGTTACATAGTATAATGTAAAACACTGTAATTATAGAATTTCCTCATTAATTATGCAAATAAAGTCCTCATTTGCATAATTTATTTTTAATTATGTACATCTCTCTCTCAGCTACCTACACAACCAAAAATAATGAAAAATATGTTGTTCCTGTCTGGACTTATTGGCTTTTAAACATTTCGCCAGAAAGTGCCCTGCAGTTCCAGAACAAGCCGCTAGGGGGGCCCAAACTCATATGACTTCTTTCCAAGCACGAGAGCTACCTTCCATCAAAATTTCATGACCCTAGCATGTCCAGATCGTGAGATATCAAAACCGGAAGTTGCGCTGCAGTACCAAGGGAAGCCACTAGGGGGACCAAAATCTCATCATTTCCAGTTTTCGTCACACCCTACCAACACACCAAGTATGAAACCCATCCATCCAGGCGTTCTTGAGTTATCTTGTTGACCAACAGACAGACGGACGGACGGACGGACAGATAAACGCAACTGAAAATATAACCTCCATGACACATTTCATGGAGGTAATAAAAGACTTCTTGCTTGTTAATCTGTGTCACCTCATTCAA